CCCCGGTATGTCTTGCTCGGAATACCCCCCGCGAGTCCCCCCTCCCCCCCCACCTTCGAACACGTGTGTGTTTCAGGTCCGGTGAAGGACGTGTACTTGCCCTTGGAGTTCGAGACGGGACGGCCCCGCGGATTCGGTTTCGTGGAGTTCCAGCATGCGGCGGACGCACAGGAGGCGCTGCGTGCGTTGAACGACACGGACTTGGACGGGTCGCGCATTTCTATCTCAGTAGCGCAGCACGGACGGAAGACCCCGTCTTTGATGCGTGCGCGCTCCTCAGGTGGCGGTTACGGCCGCAGCGGGCGACGACACTACCGCAAGGGCGACCCGTACTCCGCACCCGATCGTTACGACCGATCGCCGCCCCGGTCCAGGCGATATGAACGCTCCTATGATAACTCTCGCGGTTACTCTTCCGGAGGACGCGACTACAGAGATGGCGGACGTGACGGTGCTCGCGACGGCGGACGTGATGGTGGACGCGACTACAGAGATGGCGGACGTGACTACCGTGACGGCTCTTACGACGACCGACGACGATACTAACCATCTCGTCCAATGACTCAACCACGGCCTCACTAGTCGACTGCCTGGACGACCGTCTGGACGACCACGCGGATCACCACTGCCAAACACACTCGCCAACAGCTGCACAGCAGTTTTGCACCCCACCAATCGTTTGGAGTCGGTCTCTCCCTCGGATGAATCGTTCCTGACGAATTCTTGTTGGACGAACGATTCTCTCCGGCTGAGGGTCTCTCCAACCGAACGGTTTATCCCGGGCCGTCCTCTTAACCAAGCCAAGAAATAATGGTGCACTGTTTTCGTCGTATTTCATGGACTCAATCAATCTGGTATGCCCTCCAAGCTTCGCCACAGAACGTCTCCTCATAGTACCGAGAAGGCCTCGACCGGCTTGAACAAGAGGCTGCGAGCTTAACGGTAAGCAAAAGACCAGAAGAGCGAGGGAAGGGTTTGATGAATCAAAAGGTTTGATGAATCAAAAGGTTTGATGAACCAAGGGCTGTGATGAACCAAGGGCTGTGATGAACCAAGGGCTGTGATGAACCAAGGGCTGTAATGAACCAAGGGTGTGATGAACCAAGGGTGTGATCAACCTCGCAGGCCCTTCCTCGGTGAACGTCAGGGCTCACTTCTGTGCAACGAAAAATCCTGCCAACGCCGCAGCGGCCAAGCAGCGGGGTCGTCTCGAGGGCTCTCAAACAGAGAGAGCCGCAGGGCCTCGGGAGCAGCACGGGGGTCCATCGCAAGACTCTTTAGAACGACTATACCACCGTCGAGCAGTTGCTCAAGCGGCCAGGCGCCATCAAAGACGCTCTACTCGTCAAGGAGGGGCTCGAGTTTCGGCGGGAACTCTTCGAAACCGAGTGCGAGAAAATCCGAGACGCAGGCCGTCTGCTTGAGCAACAAATGGACAAAGCGTTGGCACAGGCAACCTTCCACGACGCACACATTGACCTGAAAAGACCCTCGCCTACCGCCCAGCCCTTCGTGCAACTAGTAAAGCACCAGGATGCTACGATCCAGTAAGCTCTCTTTTTAACCCCCCGCCACTTCCGCAGGGAGCTCCAGTCCATCGTACGGTACCTGCACCAAGTCAATAAAGTCCTCCAAACGGAAAATGCCTCTCTGAGAAAACTGCTTAAGCAAAAACAATTCAATGAACCATCACTAAGGCCATGGACCCATGCGAATAAAAATTAGCCCTAAAACTCCGGAACATGGGCACCAACAAACTCAAGAACAAGGCGTGCAAGAAGTTCCGAGCAGCCAAGCGCAAGGTGATAGAAGGTAATCACAGTGTCACACCCATGTGCATTTTCGCAGAACGCCGTGTCAACCCACGCATTGAGGAACATTTCCATAACTGCCATAAAATCAGTAACGGCGTGCCCGTGCATCCCGTTCACAGACCCAAGGTAAGACCTACCCCTCGCGACGCATCCTGGCGCCTCTCCCCTCCCGACATATTCTTTCCGCGTTGGCTTCTATTCATGACGCGTCTGTTGTAGAACGCGTTTCTCCACCCCAATGACAAGGCAGCAGTGACTCCGCAGAAGGTGATAAAGAGCGGGTACGATTTCCGTTTGACTGTTGCCAATGTCCGATCTGGCTGAGTACACTATTCTACGTGAGCTGTCTTCAGCAGCGCGTCATGGAGAGCCACCGTGTACTGGTTCAGTGCAAGTACGATGTCATCATCAGCTTGTTCGCGCGCCGACCGCTCAGACTCAATGGCTGTCCGCAGTTCGTCCATTTGATTTGTTACAGCTTTCTGAAAGGCTTGTGATTTCTCCTGCAGAGCTTTTTGAAGTGAGACTGCATCCGCAGTCAATTCGTCTAATCGTTTAGACCGCTTGATGCGCTCGTCTTCGAATTTCAGGGAGACCGAGCGCTCTACGTCAACCAGTTTTTCCATAAACGCATTGCTCCTTTGCTCGGCTAGCTCCGGCAGTCGGTTCTACAAACAGAATAATCCTTCTACCCGGTTGGTTACCTACCTTTAGATCGCTGATATCTTTATGACACTCGGCTATTTCCTTCTTCAGGTTCTCCACCACCGTGTCGTCCTCGAGTGCTTCAATTCGTGAATACATATTCGCCATGCGCTCATCGACGCTACGAACTACGTCTTTCAACTGCTCTAGCTTTTCTGTGCAATACAGCTGTACTTTTGTGTTGACGCCATGCAGCTGTGTCTCGAATTCCTAGAAGTGCGGTTGAACAGTATCGAACAAACTGGTGTCTTACCGATGTGATGATTTTGTGGCTCTCCATCCGATCCCTCACTTCGTTGTCCACCTTCTTCTCCAACCCATTGAGAGCTTCTCTAAAGGCGACGATTCGGGATGTTTCGGCTTGTAACTGCGCAAAGGTTTTTTGTTCCACTTGTTTCTCAACCCCCACCAGACGATCGGTGATCTCTGTCAGTCGCGTTTGTCGGTGCAATGATTTCGAGGGGGTGGCGGGCGTGGTACCCGTCTCATTCAGCCCGTGGCCGCGTGATGGGGACCTCAAATAATCGGGGAATGGGACAAATGACGCATCAAAATTGCTGAACGGGCTTTCAGGACGCGGCGCAGTTTTGCTGCGAGCAAATTCATGGAACTGGCTAATCATGCCGTCTTTGGGCGTCGCGCCTGGGGTGAGCCCCGGAAACGTGAATTTCGTCTTCGGCTCCGCACCGGATTCTCCATAGTTCATCAAAAAAAGTGTGTGCACACGTTCTATAAATTATGATAGCTGGCGCTTCGCAGCCGGAGAGGCCCATTTTCGAGCTCAAGAAGTGGAATGCTGTCGCCTTGTGGTCTTGGGATTTGGAAGTCGATACATGTGCTATTTGTCGCAATCATACGATGGATTTGTGCATTGATTGTCAGGCCCGGGCAGATAGTGCGTCGGAGTGTACTTTGGCCTGGGGAACATGCAACCATGCTTTCCATCTTCATTGTATTTCTAGATGGTTGAAGACTAGACAAGTTTGTCCTCTATGCAATTCTAATTGGGAGTTTCAGCGTTATGGACATTAGATTCTTAAGTTTGAACATTACGTAGACTAACAGACCCTGGAACTTGCTGCTCCTGTCCACTGTGTAGCCCACCACGGAGTTCCCTCCCGCACCTACCGCGCTCCCTAGCGCGGTTGCTTTGCTCCGTTTTAATTGGGTTTAAGATAGAGTTGTGAGGGTTTGTGGTCTATCATCTTCAAGGTCAGTTTCCTGGGGAGAAGATTAAGAAGGTTGTTGCGAACGAGAGCCGAGGGCGCTGAGAAGCGCCAGCCTTGTATGCTGAATAACTTCATGACGGCGCCGTTGAGACAGGCGTGGGAGCAGTAGGGGCGGAAGATATGTGTGTGCCACTCCTTGATAGGACAGGCTTCGTCGAAGAGCCAGCAATGTGCTAGGAAGACCTGCGCAAGGGCGATGTGCAGGACCTCGGATGGTTCCGGGTTGTTCAGATGGCAGAAGACGTTCCGTAAGGAGGAAGCAGCTACGGCGAAAAGACATAATAGGTCGCCCATTACGTAATCGCAGCTGCGAAGCATACGAACGCAGTATACACACATCTCTTCCATCTCCCGCGTTCGTTCCTCGGAGACACGTCGAGAGGCAATGGCCCCAGCTACGTAGGAGTAGTACCCACGACCGATCGTCTCAATTAATTCTTCCTCGGTCGCTGTCTCCACGACGTAGTTAATGATCCAACCTATAGCCTGGTTGTCTTCTTCTTCCGGATGAACCAAGACTGTCCCACGTGATTGCGAAACTTCTTGCTTCGACCATCCCAGCCCGGCGCTACATCCGTGACCAGCACACACGTGTGTCGCGCACCCGTGTGTGGCACACACGTGTGCAGCACGCACGTGGTGTGTGGAACTGGAGGTCCCGCCAGAAAAAGAAACCGTGGAAGCAGAGCCCCGTCCGGGCTGCGAACCCGATGAGTATCCTGCAGTCCGCGACGTGTCGCTCCCCAGACCAGATGAACTATGCTCGTCCGCCGTTCGACCGTTCTCAGACGAAGACGTCAGCGGACGCTTCCGCAAACCCTTGTACAGGGCCACTCCGGAGGCTATCATCCACCTCTTTGCTGGACTCACTCGCGTCGTATTGACTCACTCCTGTCCTACTCGCTCACTCCTGATACTGGTCGCCCGTTTCCGTTCCGAGTTCGGAAATCGTGCACCCGCCCGTGTTCTTGTGGGATGACCGGTAATTTGGATTGCGTGCGTGCTCTCTTGTTTGCAGCGGGCGTGCTGCGCGTTTGCTGCAGATGTGTGCGGAAAAGTTGGGTCGCAAACGAAGTCCCCGCGAGATTCAGTCGTATTGGCGAAACGGGTAACCAACGAAACGGACAGCCGGCGAAACGTACAGCAGTCATGGTGCTTGCCGAAGCACTGCAAGCGAGGGAAGGGGTTTATGGCGGGGGGGGGAGGAGGATTGTTCTGCCAGGGAGGAAGATTGTTCTGCCACGAAGGGGAGTGGTGGTTGTAGTTTTTTGAGCTCTAAAATGTCGAGGGCGGTGAGTAGTGTGAGCGGTGGAGGGGAGCTTGCGTTGTTGAGTGCGCTGAAGTTGTTGACGGAGGCGCAGTCCGTGGCGATGTATGCGACTGTGGAGAATGAGAAGCGTTTGTTTAGCGCGGCGGCTGACCCCAAGGTGTTTTCCATGTCTCTATGTGAGAACGGGATGATTGATTTGCGGCAGTGTACTAACCACCACAATCTGGTGTGGGATTGGGCGGAGTCGGTGGATGTAAACCAGCATAAGGTGCGGTACACAGGTAAGGCGAAGGATTGGTGCAAGCTGGACGTCAGTAACGCGTTGGGTCAGAGATTGGGTCGGTTGGAATTGGTGCGCGAAATCGATCGAAATGAACTCAATTTAGAACAACGAATTTATCAAGATCTCAAAAACGCACCCCCTGGCCACGTCTACCATCTTGTCTTCCTCGGTGACGACCCTCGTGAGAGTCCCCGTAACAGCCCTCGTGGCAGCTTCAGCGGCAGCCCTCGTGGCAGCTTCAGCGGCAGCCCTCGTGGCAGCTTCAGTGGCAGCAGCATCCGCCGCAGCTTCCGTGATAGCTTCAACCGGACCTTAAGCGAAGGCCCCCTGATGGCGCAGAAGAGCTGGCGACAAGTCTCCAACCTCTTCCGCACACTCTCCGTACGGAGGAAACAAAACCATGGGATGGAGGATGGAGCAGCTTCCTCGATCGAGCAGCCTTCTCGAACGAGGAATCAATGAACTCTTGACGAGCAAAGTCCGCACCGTTTGGCGAGTGGAGTCCGCACCGTTTGACGAGCGGAGTCCGCATCGCTTGACATGCGGAGAAGATTCTATTTTTTACCATCGTCAGGGCGGTGTGTTTACCAAGTGGTGTGTTTACCAGATGGTGTGTTTACCAGGTGGTGTGTACACGGCCGTTGACACATGGACGTTGACACATGGACGTTGACACATGGACGTTGACACATGGATGTTGACTGAGATGGGGCGGGCTGCGTCACGTGTGCCCCCCGCAACACGTAGGCAGGAGTCGGCTGCTGGATAAAAAATGTCCCTCTTTTGCCCGACATGTCATTGTCTTCTGTCGTTGGGTGAGGGAGGCAATACTGAGATGAAGCTACGTTGTCCATCATGTGTGTATATATTCTCAATTGAAGAGAAGGTGCAGCTTAAGAAATATCTCAATCCGATGCAGCCTGAGGATGCCGTATCGTTGGAGAAAGAGTTGGCAAAAAACCCCAAAACTCCTGGTAAGAGATTGTGTGTGAGATGCCACTTTGTTTGTAGCTGTGTGCCCAGAATGTAGCCACAAAGAAGCCTACTTTTATCAACTACAGATCCGGTCGGGTGATGAAGGCGCCACAACATTCTTCCAATGTACCCACTGTCACGCTCGGTGGAAAGAGGAATAACACGTGTCCCTGCACCCGGCCCGTAACCAGTCTGGTCTGATAGTCGTGGTCTGGTCGAGGGTCTGATAGTCGTGGTCTGGTCGAGGGGCTGATAGTCGTGGTCTGATAGTCGAGGCAAACAGAAATGCTCGTCCGCCTGTACAACTCAATCACCTACCTACACGATCCACCTGTCTGCCCGCACGAGTCACCTATCCACGTGCCGGGTGTTCTGCGAAACAGAACACACCCCAGAACAAACACTTTGGAGAAGATAAATAGGACATGTCGCGATGTAATGGACTCGAGTAAACGATAGCTTGTGAGCCACTCCGCTCACTCCGCTTGTAATTTACTATGCTTGTGTCCACGAAACACCCCATCGTGCCCTAACAAGATCTCTTACGAAGTCAACTGTATTAAGCAAATGCCTCAATCAGATGTATTATGCCCCAGTCAGATGCCCCAGTCAGAAGCCCCAGTCTGCCGTAATAAATCACCTGTTAAGTCCTAAACCAACTGAGACTCTTGGCTGGGTGGAGGTACCGACAAAATGGCCGAAGACAACATCTGGTCTGTCCGGTCTTGGTCTTCTCCCCCTCCATGATCTTCTCCGCCTCCATGATCTTCTCCCCCTCCATGATCTTCTCCGCTCCCTTGGAGCTCTGTGTCTTTCTGGCTCTCCTGGTCGCTTCTCTGGCTCTCCTGGTCGCTTTCGTGGTCCGGCCCGCTTCTCGGGTCCTGCCCGCTTTTTCTCTGATCCTCCCCGCTTTTTCTCTGGTCCTCCACGATGGCCGACTTTTCCGTCTCGACGGCCACCTCTGCTGCTGCCACTTGTAGCCACTCTGCTGCCTGTTGCGGCGGGTAGCTTGTGACTTGTAGCCCTTTGTCTAGTTGAGCTCCAGGTTGGGGCGGTGTGTGATCGTCAGGTTGGGGCGGTGTGTGATCGTCGGGTTGGGGCGGTGTGTGATCGTCAGGTAGGTTGCTGAAGAGGCTGGTGGTGCTGAAGTGTTTTTCTAGTTTGCTAAGTACGTGGTGTGCGTGATTGTCTTCATGGTTGTCATCTTCATGGGCGAGGTCGGGAAATAGGATGAGAAGGTGCTTGATGCATGTTGACAATTGTGAGCCCAGAGCTACGATGATGCATGTGAAGCGGGCCATTTTATCTCGTACATAGCCTAGGTTGCTCCAGAGTAGGCCGCGATTTTCAACGTCCATTTCCTTGTATTGGGCAATGCTGATGCCTAGAATATTTTCGACTACTTCTTTTAGGAAGACGGGATCGTCTTGTAGGATGCTGCCTTTTTGACAAAACTCCGCCAGATTGATTTTAAGCATGTCCTCAACGCAACGCTGCCACTCATGACGCTTCACACATAGTTCACGTAGACTCTTTTCGACCTCACCGAAGGCACGGAACAAATCACGCTCGACCATGCGACTCTGAATGCTATCACCTAGACAACCAATCGCCCACGCTACATTCTTACTTATACGACCAATGCACGGACCAAAGTCTTCCGTCCAACGCACCATCGGCTGGACCACCGCCGTGTTCTCTTCCGCCACACTCGTTTGCTTCGAAATCAAGTCCACCACTTCTAACACCGACAAGTCATACACCGAACGCACCTGCGACGGTAACTCCTCCAGCGACTCATTGTCCAAAGCACCCATCCGCCGCTCTGGGGTGGCGTATGGATTGCTCACCCGCCGCACTTGCTCGCTGGCAACCCCCCATTGCACCCCTCCTTGCGCCTCCGACGACCCCGCTGCCGCCGCTGAACCATAGGCTGAACCACCATAGGCCGGGGCGTCCGCTGAGGCGTGCCCGTCCGCTGAGACGTGCCCGTCCGCTGGGGCGTCTATTGAGACGTTTATGGACGGTCTGTCTCTGTAGAGATTGATTCGCGGTTTGCCGACAGAAAGCGAGCTGTTATCAGAGACGGGTACCCGGGCAGGTGTCTTCGCTCTGGTATCGGTTGGAACCTGCAGCTGCCTCCCCGATGGTTGAGTAGCGGACCGTTCCCGATTAGGTCGTTGTGGTGTCGCAGGAAGGAATGGGAGATGCGCGGTTTTCTTCGAGAGACTCGGTTCGGTGAAGTACTTGCGTATATTCGGGTTTTTGTTGCGGTTGATGGTAACAAGTTCGTTGCCAACTCTTAGGGTGTTGCCCCAGGCGAGATGGTCGCTGCCGATGAAGTTAGCGAACCCGTCATTAAGTACGGCTTCGTGTGTTTCGAGTATGAGGTAGAGCGAAGTGGCGTGGAAGAAGAGTCCTTTGAGGGAGTCGACCATGTGTCTGAACTTGTCATTTGGGAAGCCTCGTTCCACTCGAGCGGCACTTAACAGCAAGGCGTTGGGTTGTAAGAGACGGTAGGCATTTTCGACTTGTTTCCAGATGGCGTCCTTGATATGTACAAATTGGTCGAATTCCATGCGTGAGGAGAGCGCCATTTCTTTGGACACGAGTGTGTTTAGAACCTTCTCATCCTCAACGACGCCGGTATCGAGTGCAATTAGCGGAACAAGGATATTTCCGATGGTGCGCGTTGCCTGTTCAAGATTGCGAAAGAGCGCGTCTTGTGCTTTCTGGCGCATGATCGTTTGAGTCACCACAGTACCCACCAAGTAGCCAGCGAAACGGCCAGCTATGAGTTTGAGTACGCTGAGGGCATAAGGGTCCTTAAGTGTGCTGCTTGTAGGATTGTTGGTAATCATGGTGAAGAAAGCAAGACTGCTCATTCCCGTGGTACCGATGGCACGGCGCTGTGGAAATAAGAACATCACATAGCCCCAGATGCTGCACATAAGAGTGGCGAACAAGACAAGACTCCAACGGACCCAAAAGTTCGTCTTTACCTGACCTGTATGATGACTGATAGAGAAGCCAACCAAAACCGGAGATATCATTATCATCGCTAATGAAGCACCCGCATATCGATCGATCGCCTTATTCAACGCACCCCCACACGTCGCATCCACTATTTGAACACCACTGTATGCATAGTATGTCGCCGCTATACCCAACCGCTCATACACTGGCTTCAGCATCACAGGTGGCAAACATAACAAATTCAACAATGTCATCTGAATCCCACGTCGGTTCTCCGACCACGTCCGAGGAAATACCAGGCGACGTGACAACCAACGTACAGCACCCCAGCGTAGCAACCGTCGCCACCATCGCACCTTTCGCACACTTTCGCCCCCCAATAGAGAAGTTCTATCTCCTGGTCGTATAGAACTTCCTCCTGGTCGTATAGAACCTCCTCCTGGCCGTATTGAATCTCCTGGCCGTGGGACTTCAAACGCCTCCGAATCGCTGCTCATCATGGTCACCTCACGGATGGCGCTCGACATGCGACCAACACTCCGTCTTGTGAGCAACGAGGGACCGCGAGCAGACGGCTTCGCGAACTTGCTCAAACCCGGCACTTCCGGCCGCCCTTTCTGCTCCTCCATCACCCCGCACCTGCCGGAATGAAATTACACCCCGGCCGTCATAACCACGCCTTTTTTCCAACATTCACTGTGCGTCATCACACGCAGACAAAAACACACTCACAGAGACCACGAGAATTCCCGACTCACACCCGGCCCCGACTCACACCCGGCCCCGACTCAGACTCACACCCGGCCCCGACTCAGACTCACACCCGGCCCCGACTCAGACTCACACCCGGCCCCGACTCACACCCGGCCCTCTGGTTGGCAACAACGCTCCCGTCATTACGCCTCCCCTGGTCATTACGCCCGTCTGGTCATTACGCCCCTCTGGTCATTACGGCCCTCTGGTCACCACGGCCCTTTGGATGCGTTATGAGAGCATCCGCTCATGTTTCCAAAATTCTTGAAGCTTCTGTTTCGCGTCATTTTCGTCCTTGAATACATGGCAGAATAAATCATAATCATCGTGGCGGTAGCGAGTTTTCTTAAGTGACAGCCTATGATCGGTAGCAAACTTGACGGCTGGGATGTGGAAACCTGTAACTTGATATAGTGTGTAGCGGCGTTTCCACGGAAGAGGGTGTCTCATCAAACTGGCGAAATCCACTTCGAAGCAATCACCAGTGGTTTGGGAAAGAGTAGTTAAATTGTGAGCTTGACGTCCTAATTGGTATAGTTCATCTTCGCTGGCGTCTTTCAGATCGATACCGGCCCATTTAGCGCTGGCCATACCACGACGAATCATAAGAAGATGTTCTGTTTCATCTCGTGTATGACACTGGAATGAACACGTATCAGGCTTCAGGTTACGAACGATGGTCCTCCAAACAGTGGGAAAACCGAATTCAAATGGAACGGAGAAATAATGTCCTACTAGATTACTCAGTGGATCCTCACCAACCGTACAAAGTATTCTACCGCCCGTATCGCCGCAAGCGACCCAGTTCAGATTATTCCAATCATCCATTGTGGCGTTCCGCATTGGCGACTCAAACGTGCCAGTGATTGCTGTCATGTTTGTAAATTCTGGTGGTAGTCTTAGTGTAGCCAACTGATGTCCCGACACCATCATTTTTTCTTCATCGAAAGGTGACGGCCGGGGATTGGGCTTGCACCTCATGATCCAATCCGACGGGAATCCGACATAACAATCGCAAGATAAGGCGTGTTCGTACCTTACCATTTCGGAAGCACCAAAGACCGTTGCATCGCACTTGTTTGTCGTTGGGTCCAAAACACCATGGTCAACACCATGGTCAACACCATGGCTACGATTATCAGGATTGTTTCGTTTAAGGAACCAGTAAACCAATCCTGTAAGCGCTGCGCCACCTACTGTTGTTACACTGACCATAAACCACGGCCTTCGCCAAAAACTCGGCCTACTCAGAGGTCTGGTCTCAACTTCCGGATCCATGTTATTCTCGCATTCCAGATCAAGGCCACCTTCGTCGTCACCAGGGGGGTAGAGATATTGTGCGGTAGCTAGTACTGAATGCGGATCTTCAATTCTTTCCTTCCACTTCAGCGTCGCTAGCTCACCATCCCAACCGGTCAATGGCGGAACTTGGGGAACTGGAACCACACTATATGCACAGTCCTCACCATTCCCGTACGGACGCACAGAAACGGCCAACGCAATACTTCCATCAATGGCGCACAACTTCGCACACACGTGACCCTTCATTTCAACGCATGCCGGAAAAATAAAATATTTGTTCCACGACATTACGCCTGTTATCCCCTCGGCCGTTAGTCCTGATCTCGGCAGGCTCCGTGACCAGGCACGGCTGGGTGGGGACTACTTGCTATCGTGATGTTAGAGGCTTTGTCCAAGCGCCTTCTTAGCCATCACCTTGTGACAGCCTTCTGCGCACACGTGCCCGCTCTTAGCTCTCCTCCGTCCACTCCAGACCCGTTGACGTAGCCTGTACACCCCCACACCCCTCCAGGCCCTGTAGCTATCGCCCAGTTGAGTTGCGTATAAGCTCGTGGGTGCTTCCGTTATCAACGCTGCCGTGCGCTGTGTCGCGAACTCCGACGCAACGGCGCAAATTAATTGTGCCTTGAGATCGCTGTGTCGGCGCGGGGCTCGGGACAGCAGAGAGTCAGGCTTGCGCCTCCTCATCCAGTCCCCTCGACTCCACGACCGCACAAAAGAGCACTCCTCGATTCCGCCGTGCCAAAAACCATCCTATTACCACCCAGCCTTGTTGTGGCCAGAACCGTCGCCTCTAAGGCACAAATTGACCAACGCCGTCACCAACGCCGTCGCACACCCACAGCCCACCCTTTTGACGACAGCCTTCACGACACACTGGGAGTAAGACGGGCCAGGCACTGAGGAATAGTTTGTGGGAAGTGTGAAGGAGGGATACATTTGTCTGCTGACGGATTTGAACCCGGGTTCAGATGCTCCCGGGGTTTGACTTCATTGGCTCGCAGTCAGTTGAGCTTGCAGTCAGTTAGGTCGATTCTTAAAACAGTGAGTGGTTATTGAGTTCATAGCCCTGTATGCTGTTGCATTTGAGTTGTGACGTCTCGGTATTAACTTTGAAGCCGTAGGTGGTAAGGAATCGTTTGGTCTGGTCATACCCCTTTCCTACGCCCCCCCTTTCCTACGCCCCCCCTTTCCTACGCACGGCGCCAACGGGTGAGAAGAGACATGGTCCCGAGAGGAGGCCTGCGGGGTGCGGACTTCTGGTCATATCGGTTGGTTAGTTATCGGTGGTTATCAGCGGCGATGAAGATGTCGTCTTGGTAGAATCTTATATGTTCGGCAAATGGTAGCTGTTTGAGAATGGTGTGTGGTGGAAGTGTTTCGGTGCATTGGTGGCACCCATCGGCATGCAGTTGTAAGCGTAGTATTTGTCTCGATGTTGGAAAGCGTACGTCCCGATTTGATCGGGCGGTAGTGGTATAGCGTTGAATGCTTTACTGAGGTAGATCCTCGCTAGTAGTGGTTGCTGCACGCCCCATGTTATTATCGGCCAACAGCTCAGAACGTTTGGGAAAACGGCCTGTATCGTCGATGTAGGGCAGTAGTCGTGTGTAACGCGTTCCTTCACGACCCTCGTGGGTAGTGTAAAGTTCGGTGCCGATGGTAGCTCAGATAGTTTGCATTGTTGTAGTAATGGTCGTAGCCAGTGGTCTATGGTCTGTAGTATACTTAGCCTATTGGGTA